CCCTTTTGTTATCAATTTCTAGTTTTATTCCATTGTGGTCAGAGAAGATGCTTGATGTTATTTCAGGTTTTTTTTGTTTTTTTTTTTTAAGGTTTGTTTTGTGGCCTAACGTATAGTCTATCCTTGAGAATGATCCATGTGCTGAGGAAAAGAGCTCACAGAAATCTAAAGAATCTATGAATGTCTTGTTAGATTAATTTGGTCTATAATGCAGATTAAGCTTGGTGTATCTTTATTGAATTTTTGTCTGAAAGATCTGTCCGATGCTGAAAGTGGGGTGTTAAAGTTTCCAGCTATTGTATTGTGGCCTATGCCTCTCATTGGCTCTAATATTTCCTTTATATATCTGGATGCTCCAGTGTTGGTTGCATATATATTTAAAACTGTTATATCCTCTTGCTGAATTGACCCTTTTATCATTATACAATGACCTTCTTTGTCTCTTCTTACAGTTTTGCCTTGAAATCTACTTTGTCTGATTTAAGGATTGCAACATCTGATCTTTTTTGTTGAGATGGACTATCTTTTTTCACCCCTTTGTTTTCAGTTTATGTGTATTTTTATAGGTGAAGTGTATTTCTTGCAGGGAACAAATTAATGGGTTTTGTTTTTCATCCATTCAGCCAGTCTATGTCTTTTGATTGAAGAGTTTAGCTCATTTACATTCAATGTTTTTATTGATAAGTGAGGATTTATACCTGACATTTTGTTATTTGTTTTCTGGTCGCTTTGTAATCTCTTCCTTCTTTCTCTTTTTCTGTCTTCAACAAGTGAAGGTGATTTTATCTGATTATATAATTTAGTTTCTTGCTTTTTATTTTTTGCATGTCCATTGTATGTTTTTGGGTTTGAGTTTACCATGAGGCTTGCAAATATTATCGTATAAGCCATTATTTTAACCTAACAACAACACTATTTCCATAAACAAACAAACATACAAGTAAAAAGATAACTAATAAAAACCCCATGCCTCAACTTTATCCCCCCTTTTTAACTTTTTGTTGTTTCTATTTATATCTTATTGTATTGGTTATGTCTTGAAAAGTTGTTGTGGTTATTATTTTTGATTGGTTCATCATTTAGTCTTTATACTTAGGATAAGAGTAATTTGCACACCGCAGTTACAGTGTTAAAATATTCTGTGTTTTTCTGTGTCCCTACAATTATTAGCAAGTTTTTACCTTCAGGAGATTATTTATTGCTTATTAGCATCGTTTTCTTTCTGATTGAAGTGCTTTAGCATTTTTTATAGGACAGGTCTGGTATTGATGAAATCCCTCGCTTTTGTTTGTCTGGGAAAGTATTATTTTTTCTTCATGTTTGAAGGCTGTTCTCATCAGATTTACTATTCCAGGTTAAAAGCTTTTTTTTTTTTTTTTTTTTTTTTTTTTTTTTTTTTTTTTTTTTTTTGTTTTATTTTTTTTTTTTTTTTTTTTTTTTCCTTCAGCACTTTAAATATGCCATGCCACTCTCTCCTGGCCTGTAAGTTTCTGAAGAAAAAAAAAAAAAAATCTGCTACCAGACATATTGGAGCTCCATTTTATGTTATGTCTTTTGATTTTGCTGCCTTTGGAACGCTTTCTTTATCCTTGACCTTTGAGAGTTTTATCGTCAAATGGGGCTTTGCATGGTCTTCTTTTATTTAAATCTACTTGGTGTTCTATAACCTTCTTATGCTTGGATGTTGATATATTTCTCTAGGCTTGGGAAGTTCTCTATTCTTATCCCTTTAAAACAACTTTCTCTCCCCATCTCTTTCTCTACTTCCTCTTTAAGGCCAATAACTCTTAGATTTTCCCTTTAAGGCTATTTTCTAGATTCTTCCAACTTGCTTCATTACTTTTTATTCTTTTTGTTTGTTTCCTCTGACTGTGTATCTTCAATTAGCCTGCCTTCAAGCTCACTAATTCTTTCTTCTGCTTGAACCATTCTATTATTAAAGGACTCTGATACATTCTTTAGTACACTAATTACATTTTTCAGCACCACAATTTCTGCCTGATTCTTTTTAATTATTTCAATCTCTTTGTTAAATTTGTCTGTTAGAATTCCTAATTCTTTCTCTGTGTCTCTCTCTCTGTTCTGAGCCACCTAAGGTTGGGGGTGGAGTGACACAAGCACCTCTGTGATCACCAGCACTGTGACTGCAGGTTAGACCTGACACCAGCACAGCCTTGAGTCTTACCCAAGGCCTGCTACAACCACTCCCTATCTTCTTTATATGTTTGCTCAAGACCCTGTGGTACTGCATTCAGCAGATGGTAAAGCCAGCCAGGCCGGTGTCCTTCCCTTCAGTACAGCAAGGTCCCTTAAGCCCTGAGTGGGTCCGGAAGTGCCATTTGGGAGTCAGGGACTAGAGTAAAAAACTTTAGACGTCTATTTGGTGTTATAAAATATTGCAGCTGAGCTAGCACTCAAGCCACATGAGGCAGTCCTTCCCACTCTCCCCTTCCCTTTCAAAAGGCAAAGAAGCTTCACTCCATAGCCACTGCCACCCCAGGCCATGAGAGTACTGCCAGACTACGTTTGATGTTCCCTTAAGGCCCAAAGTCTCTTAAGTCTGTTGTGAATGCTGCCTGGCCTGGGACTTGTCCTTCAGAGCAGTGGGCTTCCCTCTGGCCCAGGGCAGGTCCAAAAATGCCATCCAAGAGTCAAGTCCTAGAATCAAAGACCTCAGGAGCCTACTTGATCTCTTCAACCCCTTTCTGGTACCCAAGATGCAGAATAAAAGTCTCCTTTATTTTTCCTTCAGCTTTTCACAAGCAGAAGGAATTTTGCCCCATAGCCACCATGGCTGTTTATATACTGAGTCTCACCTGAAGCCAACAAATCTCAGAGGTTCACCAAGGCCCTTGTTATAGTACTTGTGTATCACTGCTGGTTATTCAGGACCCAAGGGCTCTTCAGTTAGCAAGTGATAAATGCTGCCAGTACTGAGTCATTTCCTTCAAGGCAGCAGGTTCTGTTCCCTTCTGGGCCAGCGTGTTATCTAGTAATGTCACCTTGGAGGTAGTGTCTGGGATAGGGGCCTCACTACTCTGATCAATGCCTTATTCTGCTGTGGTTGGGTTGATATCCTACATGCAAAACACTTTTGCATGTTTCACTCTTCCCTCTCTTCTCCTCAAGTGGAAGGAAAGGTTCTCTTTTGGAGCCATGAGCTGTGCCACCTGAGATTAGGGGAGGAGCAATGCCAGAACTCCCTTGACTGCCCCCGCTGCTTTCTCAGTATGCTACATGCCCCTCCAGTCCACTGTCTATGGGCCTAACCCAGCACTATGACTTGCCTAAAAGTTTATGACCTAGACTGCCTTTCAAGTTTACTTGGAGACACAGAGTACTGTAGCCTGTAGCCCATGATGGTGAGATTTGCAGGAAGGCAGGTTCCCATTAGGGTTGGTTTAAATGCTACCTCTGTGGGAAGGCTGAGTGTAGTCCAGTTTTCCCTTCTACTGTAACAGGACAGCACTGAGTTCATTGCTTTACACTTGCTGTGTTCTCCCTCCTCCAGTGTCCAGAAGCTGTTGCTGCCTGGGGTAAGAAAGGGGTGGCACTGGTGATTCAGGACTGTTTTTAAATCTCTTCAGTACCTCTTTTAGCAGTATGAAGTTAAAACCAGGTGCTATGAGTTCTCACCTGAGTTTTGGTTGCTATGAAGATGTGTTTTCTGTGTACATAGTTGTTAACTCAGTGTCCTTGCTGGGAAGGCAGGGGATGATTGGTTTCTGTTTGGCCATCTTGTTGCACCCTCTCTGTGATATTTAGAGATGGTTTAGATGTTTGGTTTGAGAGGCTTGTGAGACATTCAAGTGAGAATATTGGTCTTGAAGCTATGATGAGAGCTCTAGGCTAAAGATATAACTGATAGCATATAGGTAGTATTTAACACCACAGAAATGGACAAGATCACATGGGATGAGAGTATACACAAAAAAGACAGCAGAATTATTCAACTCTGAGAAACCTTGAATATTTGAAGGATGATTAGGAGAAGAGGAGCCAATAAATAGACTCCAAAAAAATTGCTGGAGAAGAGGAAACTAGGATAGAGTGGTGTCATATAAGGTATAAGAATAGAATTCCAAGCACAGTTTCAAAAAAGAGGGTATGGACAATCATATTTAATGCTGTTGAGAAGTCAAATAACTGAATGCCAGAAAAGTGTCTCATATGGTTTGGCTCTGTGTCCCCACCTAAACCTCTTCTTGAATTGTAATCCCCATATCCTCATGTGTTGAGGGAGGGACCTGATGGGAGGTGATCAGATCATGGGGGCAGTTTTCCCCATTTCCCCATGCTGTTCTTGTGATAGTGATTTCTCATGAGATCTTATAGTTTAAAAGTGTGACACTTCCCCCCTCTCTCTCTCTCTCTCTCCTCTCTCTCTCTCTTTCTCCCTGCTACACCTTTGTAAAAAAGGTACTTGCTTCTCCTTCACCTTCTGCCATGATTGTAAATTTCCTGAGGCCTCCTGAGCCATGTGGAACTGTGAGTCAATTAAACGAAGAACAATCTTTGTAAATAAAAATTGAGTAAGTTTACCACCAAGAGACCTTCTCCAAGGGAATCTGAGGTACAATCATGGGAAACAAAATTGTTAAACTAAAACACTGGACAACTCCTTGAGTCTGGAGATAAGAGATCAGGGTTAAACCTCCTTCTTAATGATACTATGGACCTTTCCTAAGTTTAAGATACTAATTTTAGATATTTTTAAGTTAAATATAAGTTTTGAGAATAAAAGCATGGGTATAGAATATAACATCCTAACTGGTAGAAGGGAAAATATTATGAAATAAGAAGGCAAACAAATATTTAGTCAATCAAACAACTGAGAGAGAAATGAAACAGAGAGAAATCAAAAGAAGTGGAAAGCACAAAATAGAATAGCAGGCCAAAGTCCAATCATATAGTGTTAATATATGACAATGACAACAGACAAAAATAGACTTTAAAGCAGAAAGGCAGTCACTACAAATAAAAGATTCAATTAATTTGGATGACATAACAATTCTATATTTGTTTGCATATCATAAAATTGCTCAAAATACATAAAATGAAAATTAATAAAATTTCCTGTAACAATGTTACAGTGGGAGATTTCAATAGTGCACCCTCATTTGACAGGACAAAGGGAGAACCACAAAATAAATATTTTTATATTCTGTAGTTAGTTATCAAACATTTTCCTATTTATATAGTCTTCCTCTCACTTTTTCCTCTCCCAGTGCATGCATTGATTCCTAATCTTTACAAGTCCTTAATATTATTCAAAATAAGAGAAAGTATATAAAGTTCTAATGCTGGTTTCATTTATTCAAACACTAGGTATATCTACCATATGCTGGACACTGTGCTAGGTTCCTGGAAACAAAATAAGTAACAGATAAGGCTTCTACTTTCATGTTGCTTTTGTTAATATCCTTGGGTATTTTACTTAATTTTTTAGCTTATATTCGTAAGAATATAGTCTTGGTGTAAAGATTAAATAAGATTATGTATGTAATGAACATATGGAGACTAAAATAAGGCAACAAAAAGTAGTCAGTATAAAATGGATTTTAAAACGTTATTTCTTAAGTCTACTGTCTATCTTTATAACTTTATTGTAAATCAGTGTGAGATACAGTTTAAAATATAGGGAAGTAAGTTCACAAACTGTTATTTTCTAAAGCTAAAGCTAATATTAGGACTTGCTAAGGTAGAATTCTTCACTGGGGTGTTTATTTAAAAAAGAATTTCACGTAACTGACAGGAGGAATTGTCTTTATTCTTGCGTTAATGACAATGGCCTTCATGGATTAGAACTAGAAAAATAAATCAGACCACAGGGAAAAAGAATTTGCTGGTTTTCACTCAAGAGTATCTAGAAAAGTATACTTAGTACTGGAATAATGGTTTACCCCTGGGTTATACCACAGAATGAGAAATCCTACAAGATTATAACTCTTTTTGCTCTTATTCCATTCTGGAATTAGAAATTAACTTTCTAAATACCCTTTTTTTTTTTTTTTTTCCTAAAAAAATCCTGTTAGCTAACCTGGAAATGGACAAAAATATCTTGATTGCTGGAAAGTTATATCTCCCTAGTAAAAATGAACAGATTGCCCTTAAGTTTGGTTACTGGAAATCACTGTCAGCTGTGAAACACCCAGGTAAACTAACAAAACTAGGTTCCTACATGCAAAACAAATATCCTAAACTGTTTCCATAGGGCAGCCACCAAGGGAAAAATAAGAAAATTTTACTATTTTAGTCTAAATACTTCATTTTACATATAAGGCAACTGTGGTGCCAAGGTTGTGATTTATTAACCTAGTTAACAGCAGAAGTGGCACTAAAACCTGGATCTTCTAAAGTTTGATTCTTTTACCATCAAGCATTAATATCCAGAGGCATATATTTGTTATTTACTATGCTTTAAACATTTGTCTGTGAGTCAATGCTTTAAATGGACATACTACGTGGTGATTCATTTTCAGAGTAAGAATTTGCAGAAAACGGGAAAAAAACTTTCTGAATAATACAATTTTAATGCATATTGAGGCTGGTTAACTGGTTAGAATACTAGGTTAACAAGGCGAAATCCAGATCCAGATCAGCCAATAGCTTTTCAAACCAACATTCCTGACACTGCCACATATTGGATGGCTAAAGAGAACTCTTCACTACTGAAGGAGGGAAAGAAAACCTAGAAAAATAAACCATACTGAAAGAAAAAGGTTTTTGTCACTTTAAAGCTTCTTTTACTTTGAATGGTACATATAATTTCAACATTCTTAGAAATGGGCCTTCTATTCAAAAGAAAACTATTGCTAATTCCATGGCTTTAAGTGGAGTACTTCCAATCACTTCTTCTATCCAGAAAATCTATGACACTACATGCCAGTTAGTTTGCATACTTATAATTGTTTAATAAACTATTCAAAATTAGCATCTAAAATAATTATAGTTTGGACACAGGAAGGCATATATCTGGTGAGAACATTGTAATTTTCATTTTGTAAACTATATATTCAAGTAATAACTGAGCATTGCCTATACAGAACTGAGGTCTGGGCTGAAACCCAAAATTTGTCTTTTCCTAAATGCACCACTCCTTAGAGCTAATAAGAGGTCTGTCCAGATGCTAAGACCAGGTACTTCGAAATCTCCATCCTGCGCTTTACAGGTCTCCAGGGAAGTTAGAACTTCATCTTTCAGAGGTGGAGGGGCCTGACAGAGGCTTTGAAACCTATCGTGCAGCTCCTCCCAGGGCACATCTTGGGACTCAGTTCCAACCCAAATGCCTTTCTGAAGGTCATAGTGCAAACGCTGACCCCAGTCTGTTAGCAGACCCAGGTAGACAGGAGACAGTGCTGGGTGACGGCTAGTTACTAAAGTCAAAAGTCCGGCTGGGAGGGCGCGACAAAAGGCAGCAAAGACTTCCGAATTCCCCAGAAGCCAGTGGACTAGCGCTTGACTCCCCTCTCCATGAGTTTTGTGGATGCCGGGTTCCAATTCTTCTTGGGGCCGGGGAGACAAAGGCGGCTGCAATAGCGCCACCGCTATCACTTTTAGGAAGTTGTTCTTAGGCAAGCATTCCCACAGGCTGCTGAGAAAGCTGGTGGGACCCTCCGCTTCGGCCTTCCCCACATCCTGCAGACGCTCCAGCAGCAGCTCTGCCTGGGTCTTCATCAGAGAGTCCTCCTGGAGATTCGGGTTCTCTCTATGGCCGTTTAAACGCAGCAAGTGCACCGCGGACCGGCGGCGGGCAAGGCTGGCCAGGCTCTCTTGGAGCGTCTCCTCATTGGCGTCCGGGACGCCTGGGCCCGGAAAGAGCTGTTGCAGCAGGTGGTGACGAGCGGCATCCCCGAGGGCCCGGTTCTCCAGCAGGCGCAGAGAGAGCAGGACATCACAGCGACCGAGGGCCTGGAAGTTCGCCAATCCCGGAACTGGACCCCGCCCAAAGCCACCCTCTTGCCGCCACTGGTTGTGCAGCCGCCGCTCCAGAGCCGTGCGAATGCGGCCATGCCGACCAAACCGCCGGTGGATGTGGCGCAGGTAGCGCGCCCACTGCAGGGCGCGGCGCACAGTGGTTGGGTCCCAAGTGCTGACGTGGGTAGTGCAGGAGACCGCCAGAAGCTCGGAAAAGCGATCCAGGTGCTGCAGTAGGGATTCCATGAGGTGCGGAAAGGCCTTATTTCCGCTTTCAACTTGGAGACCGAGACTCTCTGCGTACTGATTGGGACATCTGTGAAATGATACGCCTTTCTGCAACGCTATTGGTCGAAGTGCATGTCAATCTCACAGCGGCTTTTTCCGGATTTCTTGACTCTGGGCAACTTAAAAGTCCTGAGACTTTTACTTTCGTTACACAAAGAGGTTCTTGGTGAAGGGAGAGCAGATGTAGGATATCCTAGCGAGAATTCCCGGAACCATATGCGAGATGATGCCAGTCATGAACGTCTCCGTGCTTGAGACTTCTTTCTCTCTTGAGACTCCGTCTTCTTTCGCTTTGGAAATATCCTTAAGTAGAAATTTTCTAACTTTGCCTAAAAGTAGAATCTGTGTTGAGGTTTTTCAAAAGTAACGCCAGAGACATGCTGTGACGTGAGGAAACTCTCTTAAATGAAATTTTAAGATCAATTTGAGAAAAATGTACTAAAAACGTACTGACATCCTATTAATACCAGGCACTATGCTGACCTCTGGGCTTTCACTTTGTCATTCCATTATTAGAACTGAAGCCTAGATTATTTGAAACAAAAAATAAACTTCAACATCAATAATTTATTAAAATTTACAAAGGAACAAAATTTTACTTCGCAATTGTACATTTTGTTTTTGTAATTTTTAGGGCAAAATAGCTTGACTCTTCTGTCACACAATCAGTTGAAGGAAAGGGCATTTAAGAGCATCGAACAATAATAAATATTTGATTAAATAAAAACTATGAGAGTAGGGAGGAGAAAGCCCCATGTCACTCATTGACGCATTTAACAAATATTTGTCAACTCCTAGGAGTTACATTGTGTACAAAATGCACAACGATTCTTACTAAAGTTGGTAATACAGTAACTCATTTGAGCTGAATTTCTTTCCAGTCCTAAAGACACAGCCAGAAGTATTCAAAAAAGTGAGGGAACAGTGTTTTGTACTTTAACAAAAAGGGGAAGAGAAACAAATTTAAAAGAGGGAAAGTCATTTTTCACTTATTAAAATAAGCGTTCCTACACATTTTAGAAAATAAAGCAGTCGTGTACATGCTGTTAATTCAGATTTATTCATTTATTTATTTATTTTGAGACGGAGTCTCATTCTGTCACCCAGGCTGGGGTGCTGTGGCGCGATCTCGGCTCACTGAAACCTCAGCTTCCTGGATTCAAGCAATTCTCCTGCCTCAGCTTCCTGAGTAGCTGGAACTACAGCCTCATGCCCACCACACACGGCCAATTTTTGAATTTTTAGTAGAGACAGAGTTTCACCATGTTGCCCAGGCTGGTCTTGAACTCCTGACTCCAAGTGATCTGCCCACTTCGGCCTCCCAAAGTGCTGGGATTACAGGCATGAGCCACCACACCTAGCTATTATTTGATTTTTGTTAGTTATCTCGAACTCTTATTTGGTCCTGAAATCATTATGTTATTTCATCCTAAGGATACCATGAATCTTAAAATTCTTTGTCTTGGCCACTAGAAACTTAGAACTAAATGTGCAGCTTGTGTTTAGCAAATGTACAGGCATCACTGATTCATTTATTCTTATATTGAACACCTATTACGATACGTAGTATGAGGTGCTACAGATTTACTAGTAAAATAAACACAGTCCTAGCCTGAACGGAGAAGTTCATCTTGTACCATTTAAGAGAGACATTATATGAATAACCTCAAATGTGATAGGAGGATAAAATGGAGAATGGTTACCAAGTCTTAGGTAATAGGAAGGCCTCTTTAAGAAACTGACTTTTCAGGCTGGGGACAGTGGTTCATACCTGTAATCCCAGCACTTTGGGAGGCCAAGGCAGGTGGATCACCTGAGGTCAGAAGTTCAAGACCAGCCTGACCAACATGGCAAAACCCTGTCTCTATTAAAAAAAAAAAAAAAAAAAATCTATATTAGCTGGGTGTGGTGGTGGTGTGGTGGTACACACCTGTGATCCTAGCTACTCAGGAGGCTAAGACAGGAAAATAGCTTGAATCCAGGAGGCGGAAGTTACAATGAGCTGAGATCAGGCAACTGCACTCCAGCCTGATAAAGACTCTGTCTCAAAAAAAAAAAAAAAAAAAAAAAAAAAAAAAAAAAAAAAAAAAAAAAAAGAAAGAAAGAAAAAAGAAACTGACTTTTCTGTTGAAAGCTCAAAGCTGAGTTGTTGAGAGGAGTTTTCAAGGCCACAGGAACCCTTAATTTTTTGCAGGTACCTGAGTTGAAAGAACCAGATCTACATAAGCAAGTGGAAAATGTCCAAAAAAAAGCTTTGATTCAGAATAGGGATGACAGTGTATGGCAAGAATTGTGCAGATTAATTTTAGCTTCATACATTTCTACTTATCCATTTAAATCTTGATTTTTAAATTCTTACTCAGGCATAGTAATGTATAAACTCCTACATATTTCACATTAGTCTATTTTTATTAAATAAAATGTCTATGAAGTTTCCCCCTCTAGAAGAAAGAAAAGCCTAGGATTTTAACCTATATCCTTGAGGCAGGGTGAGGAGGAACACAAAAACTTAATTAGAATGCAAAGCAGATTTTATATATTTTGAAAATTTTAAGAATGTTGCTATGAGAGACTAGATATAAACTGACAGGAGAGTTCTGGGAAGACTTTACAGAGGACTCATACTTGATTTAGGCCTCAAAGTGTTTGAACAATCATGGGATAGAAGAAAACCCAAGTGAGAGAAGTAATATAAGGTAAAATACATGAGAATACAAATGTGTGAACTGTTTGCCACGAATACCAAGACCAATCTCCCACCTCTTGGTTATGATCCCCAAATTCCTGAAATACAGTAAATTGGGAAAGAAAAAGGCCAAATTTCAGCAGATTTTTTTTTTTATTTTTTCTCTTATTTGGTGAAGTGTCCAAATATTACAATATCCTTCATGAGCACTAGCGCTACCTGACTTGGACAAAGCCACAAACTTTCTTTCTCTACTGAGCCCTACACTGCACCTGTGCCTTTGCTGAAAGAAGCTTCCCACAGTCAGTTCTGGGACTCAAGGTCTGCAGTCTGGATTCTTTGATCTCCCAGGGGGCTCCCTTGATGTGGTATAGTCCTACTTCCCCTAGGTGTAGGGATTTCCGAGGGCCAAACTACTGTGAATCCTGCTGTGCTCTTCTGGTTCTAGCCACCCAGTGGGGCTGCCATTCTCCAAGATGGTGCTAGGGAATGTCTGGAAGGGATCCATGATAGGACCTGTCCTCTAATCTCCCAGTAGTGGGTACCAGCAAAAGCCCTGATGGGGGTGGCAGGGGAGTGATATAGATTCTGTGAGATTTTCTTGGTTTTAAATAGCCTCAATGTGTCGGTATTCTCAAATGCCAGCTGTAGTAGTAATATACTGGTCACATAGATAGACTCAAGACCTCCTGGTTAGCCAGAGTGATGGAGGCAGTGGTGCTAACTGAGGTCATCCAAAAATTTTCTTCCTCAGGGGAGCTGTGTTTTTGTGCCAGCAGATGCTCTAATGGACTGTGTCAGTTATCCTCCAGCAAGGAGGTAGTGCTTGCAAGAGTGTCAGCTGCAGTGATAGTGATGGGATTTGTGCTTCTCTTATGTTACCTAAGGTAGGTACTCTGGTGTCTCAGGCAAAGGGCAGGGTCATGGAACTTCCCAAAGTCCCTGCCCTTTGTGTTAAGATACTAGGGTAGATGGAGGTACAAAGCCAGGTGGTGGCTGGTTCAGTCAGGTCCCACACTCTGGCCTCCCACATGCCAGCACAAGCAGCAGCTTCAGTGGAGATCAAAGGGCAGTTCTGTGGCCTCTGAGGGAATGTTCATGGGAGGAGCATAGCTGCCTTTGTCCTGCAGAAGAATCCACTTGTCAAGGCACATCTCATTTGCAAGTGTTCCAACTGCAGCAGCTAGCTGAGTTCCAGATAGTCTGTTCTCAGCACTCAAAACTGCCCCAGGCCATAAGCCTTCCCCACCAATATCGGAACTGTGGCTTTCAGGCCACACCCCTCCCTATCTACCTGCAAAGCTGGAGGTGCCAAGGCCCTGTACCTGTGGCTATATCACTTCCCACTTGTCTCAGTTCTCACCAAAGTAGTGCGTCCCTGTTGAAGATTATACTGTGAATCTCCATTGGGAGCTTCTTTCAACCTGTGACTACTGCCTGAGTTAGCTGGTTGACTCCTGTGAGATCCCCTGTGAGGTAGGATTTGGGATGGCTTTCCTCTTTCCCCGCCAGAGTCTGGGAGTGCATGTAAAGCATGTTCTGCTGCTGCTCTTTCTCATATACTCCTCACCACTCACTAAATCAGCTCCAGTGGCAGATAGGGTTAAGGCCTTTCTCTGTGGCCTGGATTGCCAGGTTTCCCAATGAGAATATATATCATGGAGGCAGTCTCTCCCCACTCACACTCTGAGGACTCACAGTTTTCCACCTGGCCTATGGATATATCATGGAAATGTTTTGACCTATTGGCAGTCACTCTGAGAGCAAATATTATGGGTATTGATTATACCAATCCCAGCCAGTTTTCCACCTGGCTTAGGGTGTAGGCTGCTGCCCAAAGCTTCTTTTTTTTTTTTTTTTTTTTTTTTTTTTTTTGTCTATGGTTTTGTTTTGTTTTGTTTTTTCAGTTTTCCTGTTAAATTCCTGTGTTGCTTCTTGGAGAAAAGTTCCAGCATGAATCTCAACACAGTATTTTATCTTTCGAAGTGGGAAAGACATGCTATCAATGCCACAAATCCACCATTCTGGAAAAACAGGAGGTTGTATTAAATTAAGATGTCGTTCAAACCATGGGATTTAGGAAACATAAACAACTAAGGATCAGGAAAAGATGCTTTCACAAACAACCTATCTCATGGGCCCTAATAAGGATTAAATGGGGTAAGAAAATTTACAAATTTTGAAGCCCAAATATTCCACAGATATCTCCTTCCCCAAACCAAGAAAATCTCAGAATCACAAAGAAAAACTGGATTAAGACAGACCTCAAAGAAAACGTGTTTGGAATTATATAACCTTATATATATTACCAATCTTTTGTTGTTGTTGTTGTTGTTGTTTTGCCAGTTTCAGTTTTACTTTCTTTTGCTTTCATCTAGATGTACCCAACTAATACAAGCCCTTTGGAATACTGTGTGGTACAAATACTTAGTGAACATCACTGGCTATTACTGTTGTTGTTATTAATATTATATAAGCTTCCAAAGTGTACATCTTCCCATGTCTTCTTCCTATTCCACCACTCCCAAATATAAAAGGGCAACCACTAACATCTTC